AATGACGGACTGAGGGGTTCCGAAGTGTGGGGTTTTTCTAGATAAAACACCTTATATCTCAGTAGCTAATTACCAAAACCCCATAGTATGTTATATCAATTTCCTTATTTTGAATTGGTTTATTCAAATATGCAATAAAATTTGAGCCATTCCATTTGAAAAATCACAACTTTGATATGTAGGTCGAACTTGGGACGCCCTCAAATGTTATGAATAACATCCCATAAATAGATTTTCCCAAAATGTATTTGCTTTTGAGTAATATTCCGTCCACACATAGAAGGCCACCCTGTATAGATATTATATATATTTGGCTTGCATACAATGTGAGGACCGACTGTATACCATACAAAGTGAGGACCACTGGAAGGAATGCAGCTACAAATGTGGTTTTAGGCGTGATCTGGTAGCACGCCATTGTTATATCTAAAAGTGGCGAGTATGAAATATAAATATGAACCGGTTGTATGTTGTAATTGCAAATTTTCAAACTATAGATATAACAAAAATTATAGTACCAACCACTCACCATTAGATAAAAAATGTCCAACTTTTCTATATTATCAACAGCAGTACAACTTGAAAATCCTTTTTTAAGAAAGAAGAAACTTTAGCCAACATTTTAGAATATTGCATCATTCATGACACACGACTATGTAAATAACTTCCAAATTCAACGTATTAGTACTAATACTGCTCATGATACTAGCGAGCTAGATTCTTTTTTACAAAATCCTGAAATATCTGTTAGAATTTATCATATGAACATCAGAAGTATAAAACATAACTTTGACTACTTTAAATTAATTTTGAAAAGAATACAAAGTGATATAGATATAATCATTCTATCCGAAACATGGCAAGTGGGCGATGTGACTCTGTTTCATTTAGAAGGGTACGATACATTGTATAATTTTGGTAACCATAATCAAAACGATGGAGTGATGGTGTATGTACGAAACAATCTGCCTTATAAACATACCATATTTACAATCAACAATGAACTAAAAGGTATCAATCTAACAATGCAAATTGAAAATCGTAGAGTCAAAATTACTTGTGTTTACCGACCACCATCTTCAGATCCTCATACATTTATAAGAGACATAGATGAACTATTAAAAAACAATGAAAACAATCACCTTCATAATCAAATATTTATAGGCGACATCAATATAAACATTTTAGAGGAAAATTCTATGGTGAAAGAATATTTAAACATTTTATCAAGTAATGGCTTTTTATCATACATAAATAAAGTAACACGACCCACCAGTAAAACCTGCATTGATCACTGCTTTATAAAGGATATTTCCAATATTTTTTCTTACATACCTATTATCTATGAAACCGATATTACAGATCATTATTCCACTGTATTATTGATATCTTCACAAAATAAAAACCAGAACTGCCCAAGGACAAAAAATGAAAGGAACCTTGAATACAAATATTTCACTGACAACTCAAAATTAATATTTAACGCACAAACGGAATCGTGGGACGAAATTTTTTTAACAAATTCTTTAGACGAAGCTACAAATTTATTAATACACAAAATTCAAAAAGTAATTGCAGTTAGTACTAATAAGGTTAAAATAAGTCACAAGGAAAAAAGCAGAAATGATTGGATGACCAAAGGACTAATAAAATCTGCAAACGAAAAAGAAAAACTGTATAAAATCATGAAATATTTACCCACGAAAGAAAATATAGATCATTATAATCAGTATAAAAACAAATTTATAGAACTTTTGAGAAAAGCAAAAAAAAATTACTATATAAAACAATTGAATAATAATTCACATGACTCTAGACACCTATGGTCCACTGTCAATGATATATTCAATAAGTCATCCTATTCAAAAAACAATATTAATGAAATAAAAACAAAAACAGGACAGAAAACAGACAATATTCAGCAAATATGTGATGAGTTCATAGAATTTTTCACGAATATAGGAGGAAACTTAGCAAATAATATCAAACAAAATGCTGATATTCATCTGCATGAAACAAGACTGAATAATTCATTTGTATTAACTGAAGTAGACTATCAGGATGTTTTCAATGCCATTATGACTCTAAAAAATAAAAAAAGCCCTGGAGTTGACGAAATTAGAGCTGAACATCTAAAGATACTGGCCAAACAAATAACAGAACCACTTGCTTATATCATTAACAAATCCTTCCAATCTGGAGTATTTCCATCAGCTTTCAAGACAGCAATCATCATACCTATCTATAAATCTAATGATAATACGGACGTCACTAACTATCGACCTATTTCACTTATATCAAGTTTAGCTAAAGTTTTTGAGAAATTACTCCTTAATAAAATGATTAATTTTCTTAATAAATTCAAAATTCTAAATTCAAATCAATATGGTTTTATAGCGGGCAAATCTACAACAGATGGGGTATTAAGTATAGTAGATGAAATAACCCAAAATATAGATGGAAAAGTACCATCGATATGCGTATTTGTGGACTTACAAAAAGCGTTTGACACAGTTAACCACAATATACTTTTGAAAATCTTAGAAAGAATAGGTTTTCGTGGAAAGATGTATACTTTAATGGAAAATTATTTATCAAATAGACCGCAATCAGTAAAATTATTAAGCTCGTATAGTAAAGAAATGTTTGTTAAATGTGGTGTTCCACAAGGTACAATTTTGGGTCCTCTGTTATTCAATATTTATTTAAACGATATATTCAAAATTAACAGTACTGGTAAAATAGTCAGTTTTGCAGACGATACTGCTATACTCTATAAAGGTAAGGATTGGAACGACTTAAAAGATATTATCCAAAATGACTTTTGCAAAATTATTCAGTGGTTTAATAACCGGAAATTAACAATTAACTTTACTAAAACTCATTTTTTACCATTTTCATCACTATCTAATCATCTACCAAAATATAACCACCTTCGGTTTAAGGTTAATGATAAAAATATAAAAATCAATAGAGTTAATGATACAAAATATTTAGGAATTTATCTAGATCCCCACTTGAGATGGGATGTACATATTTCTCACATACTAAAGAAAATTAGATTCATAGCATATAAAATAAAATTTCTAACCGGTATATTAACTGAATATTATCTACGAATAATATATCAAGCTTTAATCGAGCCACACATAAAATATGGTATAGTAGTATGGGGTGCTGCATGCACGACATACTTTAACGATTTAGATGTACTTCAAAGAAGAATTTTAAAATCAATGTTAGGCAAATCAAAATTATACCCAACTAATGACTTATATAATGATGCACAAGTATATGATACTAAACAACTTTACTTCTTACATACCATCACTCATTATCACAAAACTATTAGTGAACACGACATAATTAAACATAATCATAAAACCAGATATAAATTACGCGCAAAAAATGTTCCTAAACCAAACAAATCCCTAATGAAACGATGTCACCTGTATATAGCTCCAAAATTGTACGAACATTTACCAAATAATTTAAAACAATTACGCAATACATTAGGCTTCAAAAAAAAATTAAAAAAATTTATTAACACGATTGGGAGAAATCAAATTAATAAAATAATCTCAAGTATTACACAATAAATGCTCTACCATTCTTACCAATAATTTCTTTGTTGTCTCTATTTTATTATATTTTGCAATTCAACATACATATGATCCATGCACAGGCATTGTCCTCCTATGGATATATTATATTTATTTACTCGTTTCATGTTCCCTGTATTTTAGAGTAAATAAATATTATTATTATTATATTATTATTATTATACGCGGAAAATGTATTAGTTTATAAGTAATATTCCGTCCACACATGGATGGGCCACCCTATATATATATATATATTTGGCGTCCAAGGTGGCATCCGTAAGGAGTTCTTGCTGAATGGACTCCTAGAGTATATTTAGTGTATAGACTGTTTCACTCCGAGGTCAAATTGGTACCGATACATAACGTGCTTCAATCGGTATCCAAATGTATATTATGTTACTATTTTTGGTATATTGGACTCCGTGAATCACTTTTCTTCAGTCAGTTGGTACCCGAACGATATTGCCAGCTCTAACTTTGGCTCACACTGCTACGATTAGTTCCACAGAAATGCAGCCCAGTCGGATGGCAGCTGAATAACTTCATAAGCTGTGCAACTGCCTTTATGATATGCAGTTTTATCGATTGACTCTACAACACTTTCATTGGGTATGCGCTGTTAGTTATCATTATGAATGCAAATCTCATAATAAATAAATTAACTCCAAAAAAAGAGTGACATATTTAAAAAATATTCTTACTGTTGAGCGGCTGATTCACCCACACATTAGAAAAGTCTTATTACGCAAGCTCCGCCCACAAAAGAGTAGGATATATTCCAGGTTAAAGAAACTTTGAAGACAATAGTGCGGTACGGGTTAGTTTTTTAGGCATTTGCACAAATAGAGGCTTCATACATCTTTGATATACCGTAAGCACTCTGAATATCTCCAGTGCAGCGTTTTTTAGGAGGAAAAGGAGTTTAGGAATCCTATTCCATCTATCGGATACTGGGCAATAAGTGAAACCACAGATGCTGTTATTTGATTTGTACCTTTGGAAAATACTGCATAAACGGCAGTAAACTACGTTGTTTCCGATATTTCTTTTATTGGCCTGTATAAGAAAGGTTGACCGGAGAGGCAATCACAGTTTAAGTTGTTCTAAACGCTACGTTGAAGTTTCTCTTATTTATGATCCTAAAGGGGATAAAACTATGATAAGGGGCTTGAAAAAGGTGGGCACTTCCAGTTTTTTGAAGTTCGCTCTCCGTTTTTTTCAGACTATTCTATACTAATAACGATCTGAGTGTACTTACAACAACGTCTATTAAAGAAAAAACCCCACCCGTGTCTTAAGGAAACCGCAGGAAATAGAATGGGTAAAATTAACAATAATCTACTAGTTACAATTAAATAAAATTCGAAATATCGAAGAGGGCTATACTCAACTAACGGTCAGGAATTTTGGCTTGAGGACACAGTTTCGTTGATAGTCATGCGTCGAAGCATACATAGCTTTGACACATGGTCGAGAAACAAGATTTCGCCGAATCGACAGATAATCCCTCGATCCTTGCTTGTGCTCCAACGATCGCACTTGGTAGTGGTTCATTATTGCAGTGAAGTGTCTTTTTGGATCAACCACTGAAGTGGTGGTTTGCCCATCCGCAGTGCGCTTAATATTCAACATGACCAAAAACCTTAAAATAGAACCGAAGTATTAATTTTTCATTTGATACCTCTGCATGGTGAAGTCCTGGACCCCTATTCTGGAAAACGAAAGAATAGAATCACTGAGAGAAAGTGGACGTGGTTCTTCACTTCACAAAGTCTTGGTTAACCTAGAATTATTGGTGTGGTCGAGAGGTGAGGATTTATGTTTGATGTTGGTACTTTTTGCAGGTAGTTGTGGTGGGGATCAATTGTTTAGTCTGTTACAAACTTAAAGCAGAACGTGTGCAATACCTTCTTAAGAGGAGCGTTAATTCAAGTGCAGAACGTGATAGAGAAATTTCAGATTGATTTTTCCCTAACTATATTTTGATTTAAATTAAGAGTTACCACTTGGCAAAATTGGTTGATGTTGTCAAGGACCTGTTATGTATCTATCGAATTGTTATACTTGTTATTGTGATGAATCAATATCGGGAGATAAGTGTAATCGTTCCAATTTTTCGCAATTTAGCAAATATGAGTAGATGACACGAAGTTGCTTGAAATCGGCCTTTTTGTTCAAAAAAATGTCTGTTATGAAAATGTGTGACATTTCTAAGACCAAGCGTTTAGAGAGATGTTCTTCTTTGTCAAGGATCTTGATACTGTTATAGCACATCGAGTGTCCTGTAGTGTTAACATGTGATGCCAAAGCATATCTTTCTGGATGCAATCTGGCGTCACTTCTGTGGGATGTTATTCTGCCCTTTAGTGATCTGGAGGTTTGACCTATACATATATCAAATTACAACCATTACAATTAATGGAGTAGACAGTATTAGTTGAGCTAAGCATCGGAACTCTTATCTTTAATTTTGGAAAATTTAAAGTGCTACATAGTCTGGCCAATTTTCGAGTTAAATCCTGAATGTATGGCAGTACTACAAAACTAATTCTGAGATTTGATGGTGCATTGGTATTATTGTTTTGAGAATTGTTTGTATTGTTGTTGGAGGGGGTGGAATTATTGTTATTGTTGTTTTGATTTGGCACAATACCAGACGGAGAGTTGAACAAAATTCTGCTAGTTAAGTACCTTTGATAACCATTGTTCATGAACAGTGTTAGGAGTTTCCGTAGATTCGAGGTGTGGAAAGTTTTGTCAGAGATGCCAATTACCCTTGTTTTCATTTGTCTCACCAAATTCAACTTTATTTTTATGTTATGGTAAGTCCTGAAACCTGTACCAGTCTACCAACAAAATGTTGTTGTTACGGATGTTGTTATGGATGGATCGAATACAAGCATCAAAGTATAAATTGCTGACAAGTGAGACCACGTCAATGACATGGCCAGGTGGTATTTGTAGCCTATTGATATCTTTCAACAATTTACTAGGCTACAAATACCACCTGGCCATGTACATGACATAGTTTGCGATTGATTTGACCAAACTTTGTTGCTAAAATAACTTGTAACTCTTTATTACATAACTTAATCATGGTACATTCCACAGCAGAAAGAGTTGAAATTATCGAAATATTTGTCGGAAATAATCAGTGCGCTAATAGAACAGCAGAAATATTTAATGAGCGACATGAGAACAGTAACGTGCATCGAAAATATGTTCTAGAACTTGTAGCTAAATTTCGAGAAACTGGGTCAGTCGCCAATAAAAAACGCAACATTGAAAATCCCATAAGGAACTAAGCAATAGAAGTGGGGGTTTTAGGGCAAGTTTATGTAGATCCTACGTTAAGTACCCGCAAATTGGAGATTGTGTGTGGTGTTAGTCGACGTACTGTCCAACGGATTCTAAAGGCTCATAGTTTTCATCCGTATAAAATTCACCTGGTAAAAGAACTTAATGAAGACGATTTTGATCGGCGATTACAATTTTGTGAAGATATGAGTGAACGAATTATAAACGATGAACATTTTCTATTCAACACTTGCTTTTCCGAAGAATGTTCCTTTTTCTTAAATGGCGTAGTAAATCGTCATAACTGCCGATATTGGTCCGATTCTAATGCCAAAATTTATCATGAGGTTCATACACAGCAGCCACAAAAAATTAAATGTTTGGGCTGGTATTTTTGGCGATCATTTAGTTGGTCCTTTTTTCTTACCTGGAAATTTGACCGGTGAAATGTATTTGGAATTACTGGAAGACACCATAGATCCTGCATTAACAGCCATAATTGAAAATCAGAATGATCGGCGGTACATTGCGAATAAGTTGATTTTCCAACAGGATGGTGCCCCACCACATTACGCATTACGTGTTCGACAATATTTAGATCAGACGTTTCCATATCGATGGATTGGCAGAAGAGGTGCCATTGAATGGCCCCCAAGATCGCCAGATTTATCACCTTTGGATTTCTTTTTGTGGGGTTATTTAAAAAGCAAAATCTATGCTACTCAGTCAACATCATTAGAAGACCTGCGACAAAGAATTGTGAATGAGTGCCTTCAAATTACTCCTCAAACATTGCAAAATGTGCTGCAACGTTTTCAGCAAAATCTTTATTATTGCATGGAGAGTCATGGTGGCCATTTTCAACATTTACTTGCCTAACGGGTCAGTTCATTCTTCATTTTTAAATTACTTTGCTGCCAAATGTATTGATCTCCACTAATGATGATGTATTAGTTTTATTTAAGCTTTAAATCAATAAATCTCCAAAACTACTGAACTGAAGTACATTAATTTTATATCATTATAAAGGGAATTGAAAGACCTTTAAAATAAGCTATCACTCGACTCCCCTTTCCATTTAAGATTTTGGGGGTGGTGTCACCCCGCTTAGGGGGCTGCACATGCTAACGTGATTTTTTTCCAAACTTGTGTCAACCTTGAAAACAAAATCGACGGGTCTGAGCGTATTTAAAAAAAAACTGAACTGCCAGCAAATGCGTCAGTTTCGTTTTCAATGCGCCACCCTGTATATATATATTTTACGCTTCCCCTCCAGAGGTTTGGATGGTATTGTCGGGGAATTCAACAGCTATGACCCCTACATCCAATTTACCATTGAAAAAGAAGATGAGAACTTGTCTGTCTCGTTTCTTGACACGCACCAGTTTATTGGTAGACTGGTACCAGAAACCCATGGCCTCAGGCCGGTTCCTCAATTTTAGGTCATACCATATACTAAGGATTAAAATCAACTTGGTGAAACAGATGAAAACAAGGGTAATCAGCATCTCAGATAATACTTTCCATACTTCAAATTTACGGAAGCTATCAGAGCTGCTCATTAACAATGGTTATACGAAGTGTCTGATTAACAAGATCTTGTTCAGCTCTCCTCCCAGTATTTTACCAAACTCTAATAATCCAAGCAATAGTCTCACAACTCCTAATAACAGAACTGATAGAATTCCGAACAACAACACCAATTCAAATAACAATACAACCGCCAACCCACATTCCAGTTCTGGTTTTGCTGTCCTACCCTATATCAAAGAACTGACCTCTAAGCTGATCAGACTATGTAGCCCGTTGGACTGTCGATTTGCTTGTAAATCCGTCCACACTATAAACTGCATTTTTTTAAAGATGAAAGACAGAGTCCCGCTTAACCAACACAGTCTACTCTGTCAGTTGCAATAATTGCAACCAAATATACATAGGTCAGACTTCCAGATCTCTAAAAGGATTACATCACACAAAAGTGATTCTAGACTTTATCCCGAGAGATGTGCGCTGGCATCTCATCTCAACACAACAGGGCACTCTATGAACTACACAAGTATCAAAGTCCTTGATAAAGAAAAACACCTATCCAAACGTTTATTCCTGGAAATGTCCCACATTTTCATGGTGATAAAAATTGAATGTTGCTTCGTCGGGCCGAGCACAATGAAACACTGATGCAAAATAATCGTTTATAGCGCTTTGATCATTGAGGTGAGAGGGAATACTTTCAGTTCTTGTCTTTGAATTAAAGCCACCGATATTTATGTTATCTAAAGCTCTCCAAAGTTCTTTCGACATATGATGCTTTTGCAAGAAGGTAGGTAACCCGCTTTATCACGCCTAATTGAGCAAAATTACGTTTTTCTTTGTAGCTTAACCAGCTCGATACTGTTTTATCGGATTTATATTTTATGAGTGCAACATCACGTTCTTTCAGAATAATTTTTAACGGAAGGGTCAACCAAAGGGCCTGACGTTTATTGACTCTCACCGTTGTGAGCGGCGCGTGGATATCAAAAACGTTAAGAATGTTCCTTGTAAGGAAATCAACTTTTTCATCGATGTCATTCAATAATATCAGGTCGTGCCAAACAATTGAGCTTAAATCACTACACAATCCGATCGTGTATACCTATACTATTCGTCATTGTTCGTCAGAGCGATCTGGTGGACCTTTGCTCTTAGTTAAAAGTCTCGTCGAACTGTTAGTCTGTTAGGCAGCAGCGGTGGCCGCAGTAGTAGACTCTTCGGTCTCCTGATCAGTTGCCGTGCGCTGTGCGGGTTCGAGTCCCGTCCCAGGAGAAATTTTTCTCTTGGCTATGGATGTTGTGATTGTCCGTAGGTGGTAGATGGTCTCTGACTGTCGAACGCGGAGGTACCACCCGGTGGATCTCGTAGGCGGAGCCAGAATGTGTGCATGTTGCATGCACACGTGTTCCCTCGCCAGACTCCGTGTGGCGTTCCCCCTTTCCCATGTATCCCCCTATAGCCCCACGGTACCCAATGGGTGCTTAGGCCTCAGGCATTCGTGGTAGTTGGAGTATAAAAAAAAATCCGTTTTCATCAAAGTTTTTAAAATCTCGAAAAGAGATGAAAGTTTGCTTAGTTTTTTTGACAGCAATTTCCAGCGAGCAACATACAAGTCAAACATCGCACCATCTGAAGTGATTTGGCAACATAGCATACACCTTACAAAAGAATTTTCGTTCCATCCATCTACACGGACACTACTAACCTTCTGCCATCTGTCAAAGGTTCATCTTACTTATGATTCTATGCCCACCATTTTGTGCAATCATCAGGTGGTTCACGATGTAATGTTCAACTTCCGTTTTAAATATTTTTAATCCGTTTTTGATTTGTTCTTGTCATACAGCTGTGTGTAGTTTGTATAATTTTGACGAGTGTACCATGTATCCAGCTTTCACCAGGTTACTGGGTGTTTCCCTCAACCTAAACGTAAATATCATTTAGCAACATCCTCACATACTACTGTAAGTTAATTTAAATTCATTTTGCACAATTGTTGCTACTTTTCTCAATGTTATTGCAGCTCCTGATGATGATGGCAAAGACCATTGAAAGCTAGAGAGATTAAAAAAGTATAAAGAGTCCTCCTTGCTTAAATTTTGTCGAAGTACCCTACAAAAGGCGGAAGCTTTAATTTTTCACCTATATATATATTGGCGTCGCATATTAACAACACAGGCCACTCTATGAATTATGGCAGTATTGAGGTTCTTGATAAAGAAAAAAGACTCTCAAAACTTTTATTTTTAGAAATCTCCCACATTTTCATGACATCATTGCATGAATAAAAAGGCTGATGTCAAGCAGCTCAGTGTCATTTATTCCTACCTGTTGAATTGCGCAAAGCTAGAACGGCTACATGTCCAAATTGATCCAACATCTTCACAAAATTAGAATACATTTTCTCACTCACATTTTTAATATAAACTCACATAACCCATCTTTTCAAGGTTGTATCAATATCACACATTCTTGCACTCATATGAACCACACACTTTTTTTTTCCAAAAAAAGTTATTTCAGCATTTTAGTAATTTTGAGTGGAGATTTACCGAGCGTCCCTCGTATACTTCATACCCAAAGTTGGACAGGGAGGTGTATATCGCCACGGTCCGTCGCGTCAATCACTTGTCATCTGTCGACGCTTTACCGTTCCGCGCCTTCCCCCTCTCCACGTGTAGCGGTAGTAGAAGGTTAGGGACTGCATTCCGATTGTTTCAACAAAATGTCTCCCCACGTGTAGTATTTTTAACTTGTTCGGGTGTATTGATATAATTTTTATTTTTTCTTACCTTTTAACGAAGGTATCTGTCGTTTTTCAACAAGCCCAATGTCCCCGTCCTTTTGTTTTTATACTGATCACAAGTTCGATCTTCTCTACGTTCTTTCTGAAACACCTTGTGGCTGGAAGCTCACCGACGAGTAAGTTGTCTGACATTTTAAATCTGTCCTGTCTTTGCTAGCATCACAATTGTGTTTTCAGAATCCTGATGATGGCTCCATAGAGAATGCCGAAAGCTTGATTTTATCGTCAAAAGAGTCAACTTTAGCCTAAAAGTTTTGCCAATTTCCCAATTAACAAGTAATTGTATTTTGTACCCAACTAGTCGTTGGCTTTGGCAATGACTACTACTCATATATATATATCTTAAATCATTAGATTTAGAAATAACTTTTAAAAAAATTTTATTTGAGGACTGAGGCTTCAGTCCATACAAAATACAAAGGTTTACAAATGTGACATTTACGTAGTCTAACCGGGTATTGAACATAAAGTTTACATAAGTGACTGTTACGGTGCCTAGCCGGGTAATGAACAACAAAGTTTACATAAGTGACTGTTACGGTGCCTAGCCGGGTAATGAACGACATGAAATGGGCGCAAGGCCTGTTTATACTATTGGTGTGCTTACAAAACACTTCTAGAAAATAAAGCGTAAACAACGTGTTAGCGAGAAGTCGTTATCTGTTGCTGAGCTAGCGTCTGGTGCAACATTGTATGGAATAGTAAGTCCATTGTTTTGAGTGCATATAACAACTTCCCCCTATTACAAAAAGTTGTTGCCATGCGACAACTTTTGACAAAATTAGAAAAGTGTAAAAGATGTAAAAATTCAAAAATGTAAAAATGTAGAAATGTAAATTGTAAACATTGTAAAATATAAAAATATAAAAGTAGGAGTAATAAAATTGCAAAATAACATCAGAAAATATAGATTCTGAAAAATAAAATTGTTAGCATAAATGCGGTACATTGGCGATGCAAAATAACATCTAAAAGCAAAGCTGGAACAAACAAATAATAAGATACAATCGTACAGTCGTACGGGCAAAATTACATGGAAGATAACACGAAAATTGAAAATGGTTTTTTGAACAGTGAAAACACTTCACGGAACACTCACTGCAGTTCGATGTCTTCCTCATGTGGCTGGATGGTTGGTCTACGTCGAGGAAAAAGTCTGGGAATGTACCGGGCTTTTGGTGCTCCTGGAGATGGGCCATCGGCTGGATAATTTGATGCGCAGATGCTGAGTGGTCTTCGTTTTCTGCACTTGCAGAACAGGTACAAAGCTACGATGATAACTAACAGGGTGATGATAAAATACGTGAACCATGAGAGATGTCTCGAAACAAACGGCTCGTTCATAATTTTGTCCAGTTGTTCAGAATATTGGTTTAATTTGTGATTGGCAATTTCGAGTTCTTCAGTATCGATCTTGCTTAGCTTGATCGGTTTTAATTTTGGTAAATTTTGTTTCTCTGGGAGATGTTCACAAGCATTTGTAGGGTACTTCTACAGGGTGACTTTTGTATGTGATATTCTTGTAGGTGCTAACAGAATATCTAGAATGTTATCTCGTGGTGCCTACAAAGCCACTGCATTCGGGTTGCATTTTTAAAAGTGAATTAACTTTTATCACTTTGGTGGTAGTCTCTCGTTGTCCACACTTCATCGTAATTGGCAGAGGGCTAGATATGGTGATTAGCCAAAAATTGGTTGCAAGTTCTTGGATTTTGTAGTCTTGCAATGCCACAATTGCTATTTGGCAGGCTGTCGGCAGATCGACCGGATTTCGCAACAACTGTGCTTCGCAGACTGCATTACTGTCTATTGGATACGGCAAGAGGTTGAAACAGATTTTCACCTGAGGCTGAAGAACTTTACAACTACCTAAGTTTTGAAAGGAAACGTACAAAAGAGAATCGCTATCTTTAGCAATGTACCTGTGTATAGTGGAGACTACATGAAACAAACCAGTACGTTTATCGAGAGTGGGTAGAGGAATCACTCTGTATAAAGTATACATTTCGGGCTCTAATAACGGGATGCGTAGAACGAATACTACTCTTGTTTTAGTTTGATATGCTTCGAGTTCCATAAGATTAAGGTACTCTGACACTGTTGCTAAATTAACCGGAAGGGGTAAATTATTTCTCGACAAAGTGTGAGAAATTTCTTGAAGAGAATTTACTAAGTCTTGAGGAGTGATAATAGAAGGATGTATTATTTTTAAACGTGCAAAAGTAATTGAATTTAGAATATCATTAATTGTCTCTTCCAGAAACATGTAGCTTTCCATTAATTGTTCGCAAACTTCTAAAAATTGGAATTTAGCTTCATAAAATGCAAGATCGTCTGAAATTTCATAAATTTTGTTTTCAATGACCTTAATATCTTCATTAAACGTAGTTTCATCAATCATAAGTTTTTGAATAGTGTTATTAAGATTCTTGATAACCGACATGGTAACAGAAATTTGGTTCTTCATGAGGTTTTCGAGCTCATGTTCATCTTTAGAAATTTTGTTAATACAATCGTTATAGTATTCACCGTCCGATGAATCGAGGTTGCCGGTTATTGCTTTCCATACAGTACCTATAGCGTTAATCAGACCGCGTTTCATCCGCGATGCGCTTACAGTGTCATCGAAGATTGCGTAATATTTAGATTCCAAGAAACGAGAAATTTGATAAACGAGACTTGTATGAGTTTTAATTTCACCACTAAACATTTTCATACGATTGGTGGGTTTGTCTACGAGATATGATAAGTGTTCCAGAATATTGTTGTTATCGTCAAGTGCTTTCTTAATGAGTTCTAAGTCTTTATATACAAGGAGTGTCCAAATTTCGTTGGAAATCTTAAGAGGGGCGTCTTCATGAAAATAGATACCTAAGGTGTTGTTAAGCGGTTTGATGTCTATCTGGGCTGTGACAGCCGCAAGAAACAGCAGACTGCACCTGAAAGAGAAACTAAGTCTCAAAACATGGTTTCAGTCTGTCAAAATTAACTTTACTTATTCTATTTGTTTCCGGGTTCTTAAGGAGCGCAGAATTTTCAAAAACTTGAGTAATTTCGAATGGACCATCAAATTTGTTCTGAAGCTTGTTTGAAATTTGAGACTGTTTCACAAAGACTTTATCGCCAATTTTATATGATTGTAAATTGGGTGACACTCTACTATCAAAGCGAATTTTTGCTTTTTGCTTCTGTTCATCAGTTCTCACGCGGGCAATTTTGTAGTAATATTCGAGTTTATTCCGAATGTCTCGAACATACTTGGACATCAATTCTTTTTCTAAATATACGTGTTCGGGCGGACGACCAGAGGTGTGGCCAAACACGAGCTCGTATGGTGTAAAGCCAGTAGTTTTATTTCTAGTGCTATTGTAGCACTGAACAGCATAGGGAAGAATATTGAAGGGATGTTCGTCGGGATTTTCGGATACATGGGATCTGATCATTTCCAATAAGGTGGCGTGAAATCGCTCAATCGAGCCATTGGACTGGGGATGACTGACACTAGAAAAAGTTAATTTAATGTCATAAAGACTACAAAGGTCTTTCATGAGGGCGTTGTCAAATTCTTTTCCGTAATCACAGTGTATTGTACCATAATGTTGGAAATATAAAAGTAGAGTATTTACTACAGATTTTGCAGATTTGTCGCTAATTGGATAGGCTTGAGAAAATTTTGTTAGCTCGTCTCGGATTGTGAGCGCGTAGCATTTAGGTGGGACTTCCAAAATGTCAATGTTGATTCTTTCGAACGGGGCTTTAGGGGTTTCAGTTACTACAAAAGGGGCACTGAGGTTTTTACGACAAATTTTGGTCTTTTGACAAATTTCACACTTTTTGATGAAATGCTCAACGTCTTTAGTTAAACCGGGCCAATTATATCGTTCACGAATTCGCCTAATTGTTTCATTAATTCCTCGATGAATGTTTTTCTTACCACAATGGTATTGATCTAAAATGACGGGGATTTCATCGGGACTAGGAGTTTTGGTGACGTTTTGGCAAACGACAAGTTTGATATTATCATCCGAAAAAATAAAAGAGAAAATTTCTAAAATGGGTAAGTCCAAATTATTTTCAACGTAGATTTGTTGGGATAGGTCGAATACACCTTTGTTGGTTAAAATTACAGAGAAAAGATGCTGTATGCAAGTTACGGGATCGTATGGCACAGGAATAATATAGTATTTTCTATCTTTAGTTGTTTTGCTAGACGCGATGTTAATTTTATCTGCAGAAAAATCAAGATTTTCCTCGAATATGTCTTGGATAATTTTTTCGTGAAGATCAGATAGAGTGTTTTGTCTGAAAAACGTGACGATATGTTTATGACTTTTGTCTAGGAGTTGGGAATTTGAAAATTGAATTTTGGAATAATCGATCAGGGATGTGGTTTTGTAAAGGCGGGAAAAGATATCAAATTCACTTTCGGAAAATTGGGTAGAAGGTTCTCCTTCTTCGTCACTATGGGTAAGGGCGTTAACAGTTTTGGGTAATTTGATACGTGATAGGGCATCGGCATTTTTATTAGCCTTGCCTGGCTTGTACACTATTTCATAGTCGTACTCCTCTAGCTTGAGGCGCCATCTTGCTAATCTACTTCCGGTGTCTCCGCAAGAGAAAAGCCACGTAAGGGGTCTATGGTCTGTTACGAGTTTAAACTTTCGACCATACAAATAAGGTCTAAAATGTTTTACACTCCAGACAATAGCTAGAAGTTCTCTTTCAATGGTGGAATATCTCGTTTCTGCTTTACAAAGTGTACGAGATGCATAGGCTATCGGGAGATCTTTACCTATGGGACCTTGGGAAAGAACGCCAGATATCGCAAAAGCGCTTGCGTCTGTTGTAAGCACAAAAGGCTCTTCAAAGTTGGGGTAGATCAGTATAGGAGATGTTGTTAAAGCATTTTTTAAAGTATCAAATGACTTAACACACTCGCTATCAAAGTCAAATACTGCGTCTTTCTGTAATAGTCTGGTAAGGGGTTTCGCAATTTTGGTATAAAGCGTCGGTAGTAACCTGCAAGACCTAAGAAAGATTTTATTTCTTTAGGATTCTTGGGTTGAGGGAAATTTTTTATGCAATCCACTTTATCTGGATTGGGCTTAACGCCATCAGGGGTTATTACATGACCAAGATAGGCTACTTCCTTTGTGAGGAATTCGCACTTATCAGGCTGGATTTTGAAATTCGACTTCCGAAGACGCGTAAAAATTTCGGTAAGCCTACTGATGTGTTCTTGGATGGAGGGGGAACAGACAATTATGTCATCCATGTATACAAGACATCTTTCGTTTTGTATACCCATCAAGATGTTGTCCATGACACATTGAAACGTGGCAGGAGCGTTCTTGAGACCAAAAGGCATCCTCAAGAATTGGTAATGTCCGTTTTCAACTGAAAATGCAGTTTTAGGAACATCAACTGGATTTATCTCGATTTGATGAAATCCAGATGCCAAGTCCAGTGTACTAAAGTACTGGCATTTCCCTAATTGATCAAGTAGATCGGAAATGTTTGGCAGGGGATATTTATCATCGATGGTGATTTCGTTAAGCTTATGATAGTCAATCACCATACGCCATTTCTGTTTACCAGAGGCGTCCATTTTCTTTGGTACAACCCACACCGCAGAATTCCATGGCGATGTGCTAGGTTCGATAATACCTTGTTTTAGTAATTTCGAAATTTGATCTTTGACTTCTTGCTTGTGGACATAAGGGTATCGGTAGGATTTGGTAAAAATTGGTTTACTGGTAGTGGTATCAATGGAATGCTTAATTTCGTTTGTAAATGACAAGCTATCACTATCTAAATAGTTAGAATATGTCCGAAAAATCTAAGCAAAGATTCGTAATTAAATCTTTTTCCTCTTCGTTGAGATGATCGAGACGTAATTGATCTCTAATAACATCTCTACGGTTATACTGACTTTGATTTTGTAAAGAAGTGTTGAAATTATTGATAGAAGTTTCGTTAAAGGGCTCGAAAGTTAATTGGGGTAAAATTACATTTTTTGGAATGGCATTACAGTTTAATACTGTAGTAAGGAATTCGCCTTTAGAATCAATTTTAACTATGGAACTGGGTAGACGGACTTTTTCTACCTCACACACCAGAAGAATGGCTTCAGTATTTCTAAGCTCGGATTTGAGCTTGACAACTTGTTCAACTCTGGGAGGAATGGAAATAACATTTTGAACTTGAGAATTTTCTTTAAATTGCGAAGCTTGGGACTTTTCTTTAAATTGAGAAGCTTTGGAATCATTTTCGTCACCTACTTTGAAAAGAGGGACTGTTTTGAAATTTGTAATCAATTGACGATTTTTCAAATCAATAATACAATCAAGAAAATCTGACCCAAGAAGGCCATCGAATGAAATATCTAGATCATGGACATAAATTTTGTGATAATAATTGGGAGCAAATGGGACTAAGACTGCTTCAGTAATACTAATTTTTTCGTCAGTAATACCTCGGATAGAGATATTTTCTGCGACACGATTAGTATAATTTTTACAAGTGTTACGTTTGAAAATGGAGCAATCTGCACCACTGTCAATGAGAATTTTGAATTTTCCAGTAGCATCTTTAATGTAATATAAGTTGTCTGGGCTAACTGGGTGAATTGTGGACGGGACTATAAACGGAGGGTTTATATGAACATCTGATCGCATGTGTTGCTGACGCTCGCACACGGTTTCGCGTTCGGGTCCTCGACACTGAGATTCGCTAAGTTCGCCAACAAATGTATCGGCGGTTTGATTATATTCGTAACAATAATCGTTACTGGGTTCTCTAAAATCATCGTATGGGGAAGGTGTGTAGGCGGAGCATTGGGTATCGTCATATTCATTAGCGTAGTCCGTGTTGTATAGGTCTGGTTCACCGTAGTCGGAATAATCGTAAGAATCAGGGGCGACATAATTAATTCGATTGGGAGGATTTTGTCTAAAATTTCTTTGAAAATTAGGGTTTTGAAAATTTGGATTGCTCTGAATTACAGAGGGTCTTGGCGCACTCGCGTTAGGCACATTTGGTCGTATTACAGATGGTCTGGGAGGATATTGATTAGAATTTTGATGGTAGTTAGATGTAGATGGTCTAACTTGCATAGGTTGATTCGGCCTAGGGTAATTATGAGGTTGGGGCTGGTTAAACTGTCTTGGGGCAAAGCTTGTAGGCTGTTGTCTCCGTTGGCATTCATTTGCCAAGTGACCGGGACGATTACAAAAATTACAAATTTTAGGGTTTGGTCTTCGAATAACTGAATTTTGATTCGGGTTTGGGGCTCTGGCGAATTTTTGTCGTTCCAAATATGAAAGTTGTAACTCTCGTTTGATATACGAAACTGCGGTCAAGATATCCGTGGGATGTCCTGATCGCACAACAGGTCCTATTTTTGAGTCTAATCCTGTTAATAGACAATTTAAAGTCATCGTTTCGATGAGGGAACTTTGAGCAGATTTTTGCTCGCGATTTAGATTTTGCCTATTCACGGCGGAATGCATTTTGGCTGCATGCGTCTGCAGTCTAGATGCAAAGGTTAGGGGTGATTCGTTGGGGAGTTGGCGCATGTGTTGAAGATCCGCGATTAAAGATGTGAGATCTCTAAGATCTCCAAAGTGCGTTTCTAACAGGGACCGTATGTCTTCCCACGTGGAAGGGTTTCGGCTATTCACAAGTTCGGCGGCACGTCCGCGAAGTTTGTTTTTAATATGTAAAACGACGAGAAGCCGCTGCTCCTCGACGGCCATTTGATATGCCGTTCGGCATGCGTTGATGAAGGTCGATAGCAATATCGGGTTTCCATCGTACTCGGGTACAATCGAAAATATTTCAGATAATCTATAAGGTTCAATGTTCGCATGAACGTTATCAGGAATTTCAGCTGGTTGGTAATTATCTGAACCGTTAGTAGACATTTTAAATGGAAAGTTGTTTCAAAAAGATTCAATAATGTCAAGGGAAAATGCAAAAAGATATAAATGTAAAATAGAAAATACGTAAAAATGGGGGAAAATACGTGAAAATCGACAATATATAGAGTAAATGCGCAAAAATGCAAATAAAAAGTTGTAAAAATCACACACACAGAGATAAATCGCAAAAAATAGTTAGATTAAAATTGTACGTTACCAAGGGTACATCGGGAGGCAGTCGTGTTCTCCAGGCGGCTAGTGGATCTCTTGCGATGTTTCCAGTAGTCTGTCTGCAGTTGGGTGGCTGCTGCTCGCTGTGTCCCCTGTTGTTTTCCTTTTTCTTGTTGCTTTGTAGTTTCTTACTTGTAGTTTTCCTACTTGTAGGTTTCTTTCTTCTTAAGGCTCGTTGGTCCTTTTCAGCTTAAAGGATAGGCATCCACCACACTAGTTAGTATGCACGTGTTCTAATGCGTTGAAGCTATCCCACTTCTCTGACACCAATTTCTTAAATCATTAGATTTAGAAATAACTTTTTAAAAAATTTTATTTGAGGACTGAGGCTTCAGTCCATACAAAATACAAAGGTTTACAAATGTGACATTTACGGAGTCTAACCGGGTATTGAACATAAAGTTTACATAAGTGACTGTTACGGTGCCTAGCCGGGTAATGAACAACAAAGTTTACATAAGTGACTGTTACGGTGCCTAGCCGGGTAATGAACGACATGAAATGGGCGCAAGGCCTGTTTATACTATTGGTGTGCTTACAAAACACTTCTAGAAAATAAAGCGTAAACAACGTGTTAGCGAGAAGTCGTTATTTGTTGCTGAGCTAGCGTCTGGTGCAACATTGAATGGAATAGTAAGTCCATTGTTTTGAGTGCATATAACATATATATATATATATATATATATATATATATATATTTATATAAGCAATGTTTGTCCCAATCCATCCATATTTTATCACTAAAACATAATTATGTTCTTTGTGTGAGTTCGAAAAACAGAAAATTAGGAGGTTAATTGACACCGAAATTAGATTTTCAATGTGTATTTTAGTGCTAGAGTGTATAGCCTAAATGGCGATGGGCTAGGACGGAGTATATTTATGACTATACCACCCGCGGCTAAGGTGGAATCCACAAACACATGGTTGCCAGTGTCATTCATAGGTCAATGTATTATCTATATACTCTTTGCACTTACCGTTCAGTTGAATCATTCCTAAGCAATATGATAGATATCATGTTAGGCAGGCGCCGCAATCTGAGTTTCTCCCAGTCTAGCGAGTTGGAATCAGGTTTAAGAGGTGATACGTGAATTGACGCTAAACCACAACTCGAAAACTTGAATACTCGAAACAATCTATACTATACTCTTTCACGGACCGAAGATGTGGTATCCTCCTTTATAAAGAGCGTTAGGGGCATGGACAGACTTAGAGGATCCGCGGCGGGCGTCAAAGGCTGTCATTTTTCCCCATAAAATGGTACATATTGCCGTACCTTCTTACGAACATATATTATTATATTATTCACTTTTTGTTAAGCTTGACGGTTCAATATTTCGAAGTCGTCGCTACTTAGCACGATCTTTTGCACGTTACCTTTGACAAATCTAATAAGATAAACACAATCCATTGTCGGTCGGGGTATGAAACACAACTCCAAAATTACCTATCATTTGTTCCGGAATCGGTATATGATTTTTTTATTATCTCAAAGTTTTGGTACTATTTTAAAACAGATCGGTTACTCGAAAAAGCTTACGGCCACTCTCACTCTAGAATGGTATATTTTTGTTTCGTTTAAACGAATTTTGCTGACGTTTACTCCTTGTTTTGTATGCTCGTCATGTCGCATATAACACTTTATTTCCTTGAAACAACGTTTATTGGGTTTGGACTGGATACAAACTTATAATGTATAAGCGATACATTCAACAGGTTAGTAATGTCTTTTTCACCTCTGGTCGACCGCGCGATCGATTGGTAGATCCGGCAGCCGACGTGTTATGTCCAGAGGTTCAAGCGTGTGTTTTTTCATTCCTGGTTCACGATTTCACCAATGGGGTAGCCGGGCGAGATGCAACGAAATCGTAGCACCAGAATGTCTGTCTACACATGCGCACACGGTGGCGTCACATTGGATGGAGTGTACAGGGTGGTGTGGATGTTTATGTACAGGGTGATATCGGCTGATTGTACCGGGATATACAACACCCGTAAATATAATTTATAAATAAATTAATGACATGGAAGAACGTTTTTATAAATTTTACCTCGGCCTTCAACAGCGTGTACAACTCCAGCAATAACTACATTTGTTTTAACTGCAGTAGTAGAAGCTGAAACTTAAATCTACTGTAGAAGGTTGCATACCACAGGAAAAATCGGTATTTTTTAAATAATATAAATACAGTAGAATCCTGAATCAAAATTTTGTTCGAAAACGGTGCATTGCAGACAAAAAGCGTGAAATTTCTTTTGAAGACATTTTTGTATCTGTGTCATGCCAAGTTTTTACAAATTTGACCCACTCTTCCCATTTGATCGCGGTATGTTGTTTCCAATTGCAGGAATAGGCGGATCATATCAACTTTTCACATTCCGAATGCTGTTTTGAATACTCATTATTTATTTATTACTTTTACATTATTTGTATGAAAGTCTTGATCGCATTGGTGGGATACTGAGGCGATATACTTGAAACTGCTATTATGATAAAGCTTTCAATCGATATTCTTGGGGCGATCTCATTGTGCAAAAATATATGCTCCATTCGCCTCTCTTACGTTGGTCATTAAATTGAATCACATATGTTGAACAAACTAGTTAGTGACGTTTCGGCTGCTGCGGCAGCCTTTATCAAAGAGCGAAGCAAAATAACGACCAACGAATATACAGTGCTTTTCAAAAGAGCTTCCCCCTACTTATTTTTTGAGAGGGTCAAGTTAGAAAGCCGAAATTTAGGATAATGGAATTGATAATAATAATAATTTAAGCGTAAAAGTTGCATTTACAAATTTCAAGTAGACGGCTGGGCGCTATTTTGCATTATATTTCAAAAGGAATCAGGGGTCGCAGAATGTAACATTTTACCGATTTAGCGGGATTTAATTAAAAATCGAAAAGCAAATTATTGATGAAAACATGTTGTTTTGTTGAGAAACATGTTCCTATAGGATAGATAAACGCCTCGTTTCAATATTAAGTCGCCTATTATTTAGTATACAGGGTTATCCAAATTAAGTGTCCACCATTAGTAACTTTGTTATTAGTGAAAATACAAAGTTGTTTGAATTAGCAAACTAGTAGCATTTTTAACGCTGGTAAAAATGAGAAATAAAAAAAAAACAATTGAGAGTCGTTATTTTGATTTTTTTCAGTAAAATAACATTTTTTTAAATGGAAACACCTGTATATTATATTTTTTTCTGTTAAAGCATCAAATTTTAAACAAAAAAGTTCATAATGACTTTTCCGCTAAAGTCAAAAATAAAGTCAAAATAACGATAAATATTTTTAATTATTTGCAGTATTATAATATTAAGACGGCTATGAAAACAACATGGCGTTCGCGATTTGACAGCATTAAGATAAGCGACAAATTGTTAAACTGGACATACTCGCAACTAGAAGGCTTTGGAAAACAATGATAAAATCAAATAATGTCAAACATTAGTGTAAATACTTGTTTATAAGCTTTATTGTGTCATTAATTTAAAGAAAAATGTTCTCCCATGAAGAAAAGTGTGATATGTTAGAATGCTATTTAGTGTGCAGAAAATCCTCCTTGAGAGCAAGAGAATACTACAGTGAATTATATCCCGCTTGCATTCAACCGTATGAACGATATTTTCTGAGACTTTATCGAAAATTTAGGGGCAACGAAAATGTTTTTGCTAAAACAAGGGCAAAAAAAGAATTCATAATAAGCGAGGCCACGGAAATTGCAGTTATTGGATATTTTGAAGCTTATCGTGAGAATTCAATAGCAGATATTCTCAAGGACTCTAATTTCAGTTATGGTACTGTTCAAAGGATTTTAAAAAAATACAAATTTATTCCGTATAAGTACCGACCAGTTCAAACGCTTTTGGCAGGGGATCCAGAGAGAAGACTTGTTTTTTGCCATTGGTATCTTAGCTTCTGTCGCCAAAATGTAAATAACTTTCGTTACCTTTTATGGACAGATGAATCAAATTTTTCAAATTCTGGAATGTTTAATAGAAAAAACCACCATTATTGGTCAAGAGAAAATCTTTTGTTAGTACATCCAAGAGGCCCACAAGTCCATTTCAGTTTCAACGTTTGTTGCGGTATAATTGGTTCAAAAATTGTTGGCCCGTTCTTTTATGAGGGAACCCTAACTGGTGAAAGATATGTGGAATTTATGTCAGAAATTCTGACTAATTTCTTAGACGAATTGGATCTTATAAGTAGACATCATCTGCATTTTCAGCAAGATGGCGCACCTGCCCACAACTCCAGAGGTACTGATCATTTTCTAAGTACTACTTTTAATGATCAGTGGATAGGAACAAATGGCCCAATACAGTGGCCTCCCAGATCACCAGATCTAAACCCACTTGATTACTTCTTGTGGGGTTACTTAAAGAACCAAATTTACAAGCGAAGGTACGATAACCTTGACGCGTTAAAGACTGCAGTTAGGGAAAAGATAACCCAGATAGATGGTAGGTCCATACTTAAGACAGTTCGAGCAGTTGAAAAACGTGCCCAAAAATGTATTGAAGAACAAGGTGGTGTTTTCGAGCATCTTCTTTAAAAAAAATTGTTATTGTATTTTGTAAGATTATAAGTTGATGTTGAAAATAAAGTTTGTCGATACAATTTAATTGTTTCAGATTGGAGGCCATAACTTCAACAATTTGTAACCTAGGAGAAAAGTTATTGTGAGCTTTTTTGTTTAAAATTTGATGCTTTAACAGAAAAAAATATAATATACAGGGGTTTCCATTTAAAAAAATGTTATTTTACTGAAAAAAATCAAAATAACGACTCTCAATTGTTTTTTTTTATTTCTCATTTTTACCAGCGTTAAAAATGCTACTAGTTTGCTAATTCAAACAACTTTGTATTTTCACTAATAACAAAGTTACTAATGGTGGACACTTAATTTGGATAACCCTGTAGAATACCCTAAGTGCATTTAACCTGATAACGAGATATCATACAGAATTCACCCTTATTCGTCACTCACGTATTATAATGGCAACTGGAGTTCTATATGTAATATTATTTTTGGACTAAGTGTTTGTTTCATTTAGGTGTCAGCATCTGGGAGTAGCTTTTCATATAAATAATATGATTCAGATGAAATTGAGCAAGATTTTAATTTACAATTATTTGAATTTATTTTTGTTATATTCTGGACTTTTACTTTAGTATACCGTAAAATACAGATATCTGACAACTTTTTCCATATACTGTAACTGCTTATCTATCTAACGGTAGTGAATTTGTCTGCGATCTTGACTTGGCTTTTTTTTAGAATCTATGTACATTCGCGACATTCTATTTTTGAAAACTGTTCATCAAATAGAAACTTAAGACGTTTCAAATTGATAATAACTAATCATGTTGCATACGTTATAGTTTACGACTATCATGTACTTGTCTCGAGTAGATTAGATTCTACAATAACAAAGTTTTGGATAAGATTTGATTAAGTTGCGAAATATTTGCAATTCAGATATTTTACTCAAATTTGAGTGGTGTCTTTGAAAACATATAAAGTTCAAGTGAGTATATATTGCCAAGAGGGATGTGCTATAATAACAAAATGCCCTTTCTACAAATTATTTGTTTGGGTTACATCCACACCAGAGATTCCACTGAAGAAACAAAAATGCATGAGTTTGGCATTGAGATTGCCATGTGGAGTGATTATTCGTGTGATTATAACGTGACATATTTTTATCTATAATTTAACATAATATAATTTTTTTTATCTACCCAGGCGCCATCTTGATAGTTTTGAATGTTATATTTATGCAACCATGCATCAATTCCATAATCCCGAATTTCAGGTCCCCAAGCACTGTATGAAATAAATATTGTGACCATGGGTCAATTCCATAATCCCGAATTTCAGGTCCCTAACATGACCCATTCAAAACATAAGTAGGGGGAACCTTTCTGACAAGCACTGTATTAATATTAATAATTGATTTTTCATATTAATTTGTAAAAAAAGATCAGACAGACAACCACAGGATATCCCTGCATTTAAAAACACACGAAAACAGTTGCAATGCGTAAGTTTTGTGAAATGATACTATCATAATTGTGACTAATTGTCCCAGGGTAAAGCCTACTTGCTATGGTAACATGACAGCTCCATTTTCTGTCGCTTGGAGCGGGAAACTCACATCTCCGTTTCATTCTCAGGTCCAAATGGTATCAAACAGATAATTACTCTGACAATACGATGCCCGTTTTCTCGTTTATGCAGTATTTACGTGTAAATAATAAGTAGAGAGGTTTTTATTTCTATAATCAATTGATAGTATTTCACGATGTCTAGAAGAAGCAAGGGGCCATTGCTAAGTACCTACACTATACATACATTACTTGCTCAAATATGTTGGGCGGATTGAAAGATTGTTTCCCAGTTTTTGCAATGTCGATTGTAGAGATTGGTCATTAGCTACGGGGCGGCTGCAGCGAGATTACGTTATACTGGCTTCAGCCGGTGAACTTCAAATTCCTGTTCTGTAATAGTTCAGATATCATCTGTACTGATAAGACAGGTGTTACGAGTCAGAGTGCCAATAAATATCATCTTCGGAAGGTTGCTAGGAATGAGAATATCAATTCGCTTCGGTTAAAAAACTAAACTAGGCTAAAAAAATGTTGAAAATTTTGCCTTTTCCGAAACCCTTTTTGCGTTTCAATCTAGCTATTTCAGTCAATATCATACCTAAGTAGGTAGGGTTTGTATGTTCTAGAACGCCCTTGAGAGTCGACCTTGGGAGCCAACCTTGAACGCATATTTAACCTCGAAATGTGACCTTGAAATGTAACCTTGAAACATGGCCTTGAAATGCAACCTTGAAATATAACCTTGAAATGTGACCTTGAATCGAAATATGGCCTTGAAATATAACCTTGAAATGTGACCTTGAAGTCGTGAGTGGTAGACGGTATGACCTTGGAAATATGTGTTTAAATTAGTGCAGCGCTCGGAGAGGAGGCAGTTGTTAGCAGACAGCACGAATCAAACAATGAGTGCAAGACAAACATTTAAGTTGCCGACGGTGTGGGAGGGGAAGCCGGTGGCGGTTATACGCCCATTCAACAGAATACATCCTGAAGAAGAAAATTGGGACGACCCATGGCCCAGAACGCATATGGGCACCACACCGCCGCATCAACCATCTGAGTCCAGAACACCTATGAACACCACACCGCAGCATCCTCCATCTGGGTCCCGAACACCCATGGACACCACACCGGTTAGCCGATATGGAGTCAGGAATCCGTCGCCGGAACTGGCAGTGGAAGAGAATTGGGATGATGAAGCAGGTTCTAATTCGGATCAGTTGATTCAGGTGCCCATGCAGAGAAGTATACCTCCAGGCATGGGTCGTGGTGCGAGACTAAGATGGATTACACAGGAGAGAAGGAGATTGCGACAGGTGCAGCAGTGAAGGAAGCAGGGTTTCAGAGGGTGGAGGTATTGTTGGCAAACGGAAGCAAGGTTTAAGAGAGTGGAGACAATGTTGGTAGAAGGAAAAAGTAGTGGGGTGACTAAAAAGTGCACCAGCAAAAGTAACATGTGCAATGAAGGTGAACATATAAGTATTATTCCAAAGACCGTATCCTTCAACGAAACAGAAAACAAAGTACATATCATGTATGCATGGCAATATGCATATAGAGAAGCTCGAAGAAGTAACGGGGAGATGGCAGATAGATGTAGGTTTCAAAGGCGAGTGCAACTAGTCGAAGAAGTGTTAAAAAAATACTTGGCAGTAGATTATAGGCAAACAGTGTTTACAGAAAGGTTTAAAGTGTAAATTATTAAAGTGGAGGTATGTCTGTGATATGTATAAAAGTAGTAAGAAGTAGGTTTAGTAAAATTGCGAGTATGTAATGTAATGTAAAAATAGAGGGGAAGAAGCAACGCTTTGATGTATTTATAAAATAATAAAGATTGTAAGATAGGAATATTGTGTAGTGTTATGTGGGAGGAAGGGGTAAAAAATACATTAAATGAAGAAACATATGTTTATTGACAAAAATTATGACATGATGAAATTTTCATACAAATAAAAAACGTTAGACATCGCACACATGCAAATATCTGTTGTATGGTAAAAACACTTCGCCGGTGAAGGGGTGAGGCGGGGCTGCTCTTCAAGCTCGATTATTGGTTTGCTGGTGAAGTTTCTCAGGTAGGCTGCTTTTTCACGTCCTTTCACATAAATTCTGTCTGCCCCATCCGCAATGTGTTTAATAATGTTTCCAAACTTATGTAGGGGTGTAAACCCTGAATTCCAGGAGATACCATGGTAATTATCAGTCAACCACTTCGCCTGAATCTTCAACGGTGGTGGCAGCAGATCTCAAGGAAAAGGAGCTTTGAAAATATAATGACATAACCTAACACCATCATAGGCGCAAAATTCTTTTGCGAGAAATTTATTATTTTCAATTTTAAATCCTTGAACATCCAAAACGACACTCATATTTGTAAGTTGGAGAATTTTGTATATAGAATGCGTCTTTGACAATAGGAATTGAGTGCTTCTTTCAAACTTTGCAATTTCTGATAATACTCTCTGAGAGCTTGTCTGTAGGATGATGTCATAATGAGAATGAAGGAGATTTAGTCTGAACAAAGATAATTTATATTGTGATTGATCGTGATTGATTAAGCTCTATCGCTGTTTAACAATTTTGGTTAAAGGGTTGTAGGTGAAAACGCGATCGTGTAGGATGAGACAGTAAGCAGATGTTTCCGGAGGAACATTTTCACTTGTCTCAAATTCAATTCGCATAACCACCGATCCAGATTGGATACTTTCCTTCTGTTTAGAGCAATCAATATGTGTGATAGGGGCAATAGAAAGGAAATCTTTTGGGGAAAACAGAGGTTCATTTTCACTCTCATAATAGGAGGAGCGGAATTTTGAGTACATTTCATACAAGAGAGCAAATTTTTGGTTTTTAAAATCCAAAAAGAGATCATTATATGGGAAGCGGTCGGAGTTGAGGAAAACCCGAATATTGGTCAACTTGCAATGATCAAATTGTGACATATTGGAGGTAGATACTTGTTTTTTATTAGTTTGAAAGGCTAGGATAACATGTCTAGGGGTCTCGAGCTTCGTTGTAGTTTTGACTGGCCAGGTGTGACGCGTTGTTTCAGGGAGTGATGGATACTCTACTAGTTCCCAACTGCGAAAATATAGTGGAATTTCCATGTTTTTGTTGAGAATTTTTGTAAGAGCTAGTTGCTGAGGAATGTCAACAGATACGTGGGGTACTCTCCACTGAATCTTATCAATCCGAATTTTTGGTTTTTCGGATGTAGTAGTTGCTACAACAGCATCAAGGTCATGACTACTACGGATTAATACTAACTCCTGTTTCATATTGAGGAGAATTTTTCGATAGTCTTCAAAGAATCCCATCCACATGCTTAAAGGAATACAAACATTGAACTTGCCAGACTCAGAAATAAAAGTGTCTTTTGGGAACCAGCCAGCATTTTGCAAGCGTGAACTCTCATTTTCATTAAAAGACAGATACCCTTTAAGGGTGGAGGTAAGACCAACATTTCGAACGGAATCGACTACAACTCCGTTCAGTTCATAACGGAGCTCACGGAACAGAAAAGCAAAAGCGTTATTGATTAATTGCAGAGTTTTAACAGTAGTTCCATCAGCGTTTTTAGTCGTAACAGCAGTTCCATCGGCTTTGGTTAATTCTCCTTCGAGATACAAAAGACTTTGTGACGGGAGGGTATAGGCATCTAGTTCTTGAACAGCAATGCGAATTTCATCGTTGTAGTCAAAGTTGGAATTGATAAAAGGTTGATAAGTGTGATACTCTAGTTCTGTAATAGAATTATCAACAAGAGGTTTTTGTGTAACGTTGAGAATACTCATCCTACAACACGTGAAAACCTAGATTTTCCAAAAATTTTCTATTATCGTTAGTAAGTTGCAATGTTGATTGTTGTCGAAATGATCTTCTGCGTATGCGGGACGGCTTACCACTAATAGATGGTTTCGACTGACCTCGCTTTTTATAGGGAAAAGAGATCGGAGGCGCGTAATATCTAATGCCCATTGTTACCGGATCGTAAATGAAGTCGAAGTGTAATGGTCTCGTTACGAAAATTAATTATGTGACCGTCTTGATCAACAATGTTGACGGTAATGGTTGTGATTGCTTTAACACTCACTGGGAAATATAAAATATTTTGAGGTGATTCAACGATTTTATACCCGGGCGAAACCGAGGGAAAAAATTGATGGATGATGTGGCTTGGCACACCGTTGGAATATGAGCCTGTGGCTACATTGCAAGCAACACATATTGAATTCACTTTCAAAATTTGCACAGGAAAATCAGACGTATGTCTAATGATTGGGTCAAGACGTCCAGGTTTAAATCCGAGAAGGGATGCAATGGTACCATTCTGTGAAAAATCAATCGTAAAATTGGCTTTGAGAGAAACTGTTGTGGAATTCATATGAGGTGTAATGCTAATAATTTTCCCTTCTGGGAGATTTTGATCTAAATAATCAATAATATCTCGAATTTCATATGCGCCTGTAGGAAATGTAAGTAGTTCATTGTCACATGGAAACTTATTATTAGTTTCGTCTATATTGGGAATAACATTGAAGGATTCAAAGTTGCACAACCCGATTTCATAGTCCACATTATCATCAAGATATAGCGGGGGATTAAAATGTGATTGGAGAGTGGAAGAAGTTCCCGACAGCGTAAATGTGAGGGACGTCATTACTGTAGAACGTTTGAATTGCAACTTCTGTATTAGGAGTAACAGTAAGAAATATATAGAAATTGTAAGCATAGCTGTCCACAATTGTGAGCATTAAACTTTTGTATTGGAGTATAATTGTATACAATGCGAACATTTTTATCACTGCTACCAAAATATCTTATCAGCTGCAGTGGAGGGCGCAGATTCCCATATGAATCAAAGTATGAGACAAGATTGCCATTTTTCACGTATGCAACCCAATGAGTCCCGTCGCCAGACGAGTCATCCAAATTAACAATTCCACTTTCACAAGTCTGTATACCCTTTGGTAATTGATCTTTCATGAATACTCCTCGAAAAAAAGGAATGTTAAGTTGTTTTGCAAAGTAAAGTAGTTCAATATCGGAAAGCGCATGGGATGGTAGGTGCCTTAGCAGTTTTTTTTGTACGGTGCTAAAAAAAAACCCTTTCCCGTGGGAGAAACCTTGCGAGAGGCTTCTAAAGCCAAGTTATGACGCTTCTGTTCCGCAAGTTGTGACTGATTGGCTTTAGCATCATTGACAGCTTTTGCAATGGAGGCAGCACCACCTCCAAGAGCTCCAAGAGCCCCGAGTATAGGTAGAAGTAAAGGTAGAAAGCCACCTGTTTTCGGTAGAGGCAGAATCCGCAAACGTCGCTTGGAACTTTGCGATTTTGGTGATTTTTTTCGCAAACCCTTTCCCATCTTGTTCAAACGTTTCTTTCTTTGTTGTGTACGATGTTTTCGCAGGCCAAAACCCATCTTTTTTTTAGCTTTCATTGCTCCAGCAACTCCCAAAGCTGCCATTCGTTCTCCAAAAGAGCTGTCGGATGCGAAGGCTCGCTGTATAGCTTGATCAGCCAAAAGTTTGTCCGCTTGTTGACGCGCAGTGAGATCTTTCTGCTGAGAATAGAAAATGTCGTGTTGTTTGCAAAATTCGTCAAGTGGATTTATACCAACATCTCCTCGTTGAAGACGTTTTTGCAGTTTGGTTGACGGGCCACAGAAATTGTAACCTGGGATGTGGGCTTCGAAAGGGAGATTTTCTATTACGTTGGAAATGAGGCCGCGACCTCGCACGATCGGTGTCTGCTGGAAAGTACGTGTCATGGTGGAGTGCACAATCATTATATACTCCTATTACGAATAGAGCGGGAGGTACTATATATAGGAGTCCATTTGGATGGCTACTAGTAATCACACAACATCATGAGAAGTGAGCAGACGATACCAAAGCTTCAGGTAGATAATTACGATGGAATAGTGCAAGAAAAAACGTTCCGAAAACATGGAAGTGTGTTCAATGGTGCTTCTAAACGGGCTCTAATTGTTGGTAATAGTGGTGCTGGAAAGACTAATATCATGATCACCCTATTAATACACCCTCACGGATTACGATATGAAAATGTCTATTTGTTTTGTAAATCACCCTACCAAACAAAGTATCAATTTCTTCGCTCAGTTTTAGAACCTCTAAAAGAGATAGGATATTACGAATACACGAACGGTGATGATATTAAGCCTCCAGCGGAAATCGAATCAAATGCGATTATGATTTTTGATGATGTTGCATCATGTAATCAGGATATAATGCGTCAGTACTTTAGTTTTGGGCGACACAAAAATACAGATTGCTTCTACCTGTGTCAAACATACACAGCAATTCCCAAGCAGTTATTAAGAGATAATGCAAATCTTCTCATACTTTTAGCACAGGATGCATTAAATTTGAAGCATATTTACGATGATCACATTAGCTTGGATATGTCGTTTCAACAGTTTAAAGATATTTGCTCACTGTGCTGGCAGGAACCATACGGTTTTGTTGTGGTTGATAAAGATTCACCCAAAAATAATGGGAGGTATCGGAAAGGTTTCGACAAGTATATATACCTATAGTGTGGTATATAAAGAGCGTGTAAGATTGGCAGTACCAGTGTTACGCCAGCCTCTCCATAATACGTGATATGGATCCAAAAATTGCAAAGGAATTGGTGAAAGCCAGACAAGCAGTCAAAGAAAAGTATCGAGCATTAAAGTCGGATATTGCCCAATCGGAAACCAAATTGCAAAAGCAGTGGAAACCTATATCGGAACCGCTGCAGCAGTTACTTGAAAAAGTAGAGCCAGTCAAAGTAAAACCAGAGAACTGGAAATTAGAATCTAAAACATCAACACCTCAGAAATCACCACTTTCACAGAAATTAACACCGACAAATATATACAATAGATACCTCCCCACTACTACAAGTTTCCTTGAAGACACATTCTCTAACCTTCCCGAGCACTCTATTTTACAAGACGTTTCCGGGATAGAAGAATCACGTCCCGATGCTACAGTACTAGAACGAGAACGTGATGTTGACGAGCAAATGATTGCTCACACACGGGAAGAGTTTCGGCGCCTAAGCAAAACACCTGGTTATCAAAGTTATTTAGAACAGTTCCATCCATTACCTCGTCAATATATCGATGAGTCTATACGGGGGGATGAAGAGAATTTTGATCGATATCACGGTATAACACACGATTGGATCGGCGAAAAATTAAAATTGGGGAATACCCCAATAACCCTCGAGGAGTCGGATATAATCTTAGACAATATCAGATATCCAGGAACGCCAGGTCTGTACGAGTTGTTGTTCAAGAAAGACCCTCGTGGATATAAACAGACCGATCTGGAGCACTACATGGATATGCTAAAACGGACCAATGCATATCGACGTAATTTTGATTCTAATTTACAAATTCAAGGAGTAAACACTTTCAAGTATAAAACAATAATTCGACCATATTTAGTAAAACACAATCTAATAAAAGTATCCGCTGAGGGTGCAAGCAAAACGGGGTTTTTTTTCAGAAACCGGCACCTCCTAAAGCTCGACCCAGATCACAATCATTCAAACATGTAAGGGGTGGTATATTAGAGTATTCCCCGAAACCAATTGAGTATGTGTATTTTGATGATCCCAATGAGTTGGTCAATCGATTGCGCTTGCTCATCGTATCTGCGTATGCTGGTAATAACGGGCATAATAATGAAATCATGTCTATAATTGAGGAGTTGCGCGAATTAAAAATTATAAAATGAAGTTGTAACGTAATATTACTCTATTTTCGTTGCTGCAGTTGTACGATCAAGATGCCAATTGATAAATTTGGAAGACATATGCTCCATTCAAAAAAGAGGGACATATCTTCAATCTTCAGTGCTTTTCTAGCATCTAAACTATTCAGCGTATGTGTGGTACCCATTTATTCCAACACATTCAGCGCATTATTTTACACATTTGGTGAAAATAGTAGGGACTATATCGTTCCTGTGACCGGGATAGTTGATAGTATAAATATACCTCCCAAAATAAGAGTGAAATGTGGTCAAAGTGATGTCAAAGTCGACACACACCTGTCGAAAGGGGATATTCTGAACTTCTATTCATCTCATGAACCAAAACCTGACCTTATAGGTAATATCGTGATGCGCTGTCCAATCATACAAGAATGATGGACTTTAAAAAGCAGGTCATTGAGGAACTTCATAAACCGGCTCGCAGAAATTATAGACGTCGACGCGTTATTGTGAAGGGTATCAACGATCTCCTACAGGCAGATTTGGTGGAAATGCTTCCGTGTCAGAAAGTTAACAAAGGATTCCGTTACATTTTAATTGTCATCAACGTTTTTAGTAAATTTGTGTGGGCAGAACCAGTCAAACGAAAAACTGGAAAAGATGTGACAGCTGCAATGAGTACAATTTTATCGCAAATGCAGACAATTCCGAAAAATTTACAAACAGACCTGGGTAAAGAATTCTACAATAGTGACTTTAAGAAGTTAATGGAAGCGTACAAAATTAATCATTACAGCTCCTACTCAGCGACCAAAGCAAGTGTAGTTGAAAGTGTGAATCGCACTTTGAAGAATCGTATGTGGAAGCAGTTCAGCTTTCAGGGATCGTATAAATGGTTAGATCTCCTATCATCAATCGTTGATGCATATAATAACACCAAACACAGCACAATTGGGATGAAACCCAAAGACGTGAACAAAAGTACAGCAAAAACACTGTTGAGAACGGCATACACACATTTGAAAACGTTAGATCCAAAGGGTGTAAAATATCAACGTGGAGATCATGTCCGCATAAGCAAACATAGGACAGCTAAAGGATACACTCCTAACTGGTCCAATGAAATTTTCACAATCCGTAAAATACAGTATACCAATCCCACATCATACTTACTGGCTGATTCGAGCGGTGACGAGATTCTAGGTGGATTTTACGCTGAGGAGCTTCAAAAAGTCAAGTATCCAAATATCTATCTTGTAGAGAAAGTGGTGCGACGTAAAAAAAATAAAGTGTTAGTCAAGTACTTAGGACTGGATAACAGACATAATTCGTGGATTAGAAAAAGTGATTTACTTGCATGACATGTATATTATTTAAACCAATCAGTTTTATAACACAGCTTTTTCAATAAAACACGATAAGTAATTTAAAATTCTTTTTAATTACAATGACTTTACAGAATAGTTAGGATAGTCTGAATAAAATTTCAACGTTGGAGCCTTGTTGAATTCCTTCAAGTTTGGATGTTGGTATGCCAGTTCCATAGCAGTCCTGATGTTCTCCGAATGCGGCAAATCAGAGATGTGTTGGATCACGAAGTCTCGCACATCCATGTTGGTGGTTCGCACATCTTGGACAAGTGTGTTGAAATACTTATTAAACTCCTGAGTTTTCAGCATATTAATGGTGTAGGCAATCAGCGGGGCTAATTGAAATAGCTTCAATACGGTCTCCTTACCCAAATAAACGACGTTTCTCCATCGATCTTCAATTTTGATTGTTTGAAAATCTGGAAATCTCTCAAAGGTGATACAGACGGAGTTGGCACTGATCGAATGGAAAATATCATCACTGAAGAAAAAATTGGTTATAACGCCTTCTTGATTTAATATCTCATACCAGTCTTCTTCATTTAACGTAACGCCATTGTTTTTCAAACCACTGATATTGATTACAGGGTGGAAGCTCCACTCATATGCTCGACCAATGCTTATCCATTTTGATTTCGATGGATTTAGATGATATCGTTGCTCCTGGATGACAATTAACGGTGTCTGATCTACCCCACTTTGTACAGATCGTACCTCCTTGTCGTTTTGCACACCGGCACTCATGTTGTAACGTTATGTGAAATTCAGAAGACTGGTATATGAAGCTTCGTGGCTAACTTTATACAGTGTTGATCACCCCTCCATTCACCAACTTCCCCCTCCCAAAAGTTGACGCAAGTGCAAGGGAAAATGATACTACCGTTCATGCTGACATAGATATATATATTAATGAATTTTGTCACACACAGAGTATTTACGTTTTGGATAAATCACACAAGATCTTTAAACATGCTACATAATCTTCGAATTTGGTGGATGGCCATTTCACACTACAGGGTCCAGAGGTCCATCCGAGGGTTTCATCTCCAATGTTACCCTTGGCTATATTTTTCTTTATCCATTTCAATACAGTATAATGTCTCATCTTATTTTCTACATCAAATACAAATTTAATATCATGCTGCTGTATAATATCGATTAAACGTTCTAGTGATACACAATCAGCTAGATATGCGATTTTACAGATGCTTTCATCGATATGTGATACAATGTCTTTATACCTCTTCGTAATATTTTCTACAGGATGCGGTTTATCTACATCTTCATAGTTACTATCAGATAACAACTTACATAAATAATATTGTTCATATGCTGATGGTGTGTAGGGCATATTATCCAGTAGGTCTCCAAATTCTTTGATGCTTAAAACCTCATAATCTCTCTCTTTTAAACTTTGCAGTGTTTCCTGTACCACCCAATCTAGATGTTTCTTTTTTGTTATTACACTGGAAAGCACGTGGGGATGGCAACTGTGGGCATTGGTAATCCAATTGAATACTTCGTCAGGTATTGTAATTTCCACTAGCACAAAGTCCAGCACTGGAAATTCTTGTTTTTCTGGATTTCGAGTCACAAATTGTCGAAGCTGTTTTTTCAACACCTCTTCAGTTACATGACACAATTGCAAGTACAGTGAATAGTATGTCGTAGTACTCATCTTTGAAACTGAATGAGGTGCGTTTGTTAAGAATATATTTATATTCTTGTCCCCACCACAAACCCCTATTCTATGATCATGCTATCTGATGCTTATTATTCAACACAATGGCTTCTTGCATCAAGTGCAGTAATGTATCCAAGCGCTCCTCATGTGACATGTTATGAAATAATATATCTTGATGACCCCAAGCTAATGTCTTTGTTGAGTTTGGTATCAAGAAACGTTTATCATCCGTACTGGTCAATGCTACTTTTTTTATATAATTTGTGTAGATATTGTGCGACTCCGACTTAAATACATAAATCGTACAGTATACAGATGTCCGTTTCTTCTCAACAATATCCTTATAATGTAGCAAATGTAACTGATTTTTTACACTCACCTTTGGCTCGTTTAGCTACTTGGTCTACCGCATCTATACAGTATGCTTTGGGACCTGTACCATAAAATGCAGACAGTATCTTACCAGCATATTCGTCTTTCATCTTACCCAACTCTGACGCTGTTTGAGGCATGTTATGTGGGTTGGAAGCATCATAATTGGATGTGTCAAAGTAATGTATGTGTGATTTCATGTCCTCATAGAAATTATCGGTTTCAACATGTACGATTAGCGAATCAGTGTCCGTGTAAGCTACAGACACCTTATCACCATATTGACGCTTCAGAAAGTCATAGAAAAAGTCATATATTACCGTTTTTGAGACATCTAAAATACAAAAGCCAACATATGTGGGACGACAATAATCAATCATTGTTTTTTCCATTTGAATTATTATTATTATTATGATAATTGAGATGAGCAGAGTACACAGTACTATAAGCTCATATTATGGCTACTAAGTTTTCAGAAAATATTCTGTGCTCTTTAAAAGTTGGTTTACTAATATAATTTGCAGCACCTATTTTATGTTTAGATTTTTCAAATTGAGTAGCTAATTTGATGTCGACTCTGTTCTCCATGTTTTCAATGGTTTTTCCAAAAATACAATTGATCATTAGTTTGAACAAATCTCTTTCAAAAGGATTCAGTGCTGCATTTCTAAGTGTGGTGTTTAACTGTATGTAGGACTTCAACCAGGCAGATTGTGTGAATTTAATGCCTCTATGAATTTTTGTTAAAATAATACCATGTTTCAAACATTGCTTTAGATTACGATAATGGATAATGTAGCGTTCTTTGTTGTGCAAATTTGGAATTAATTTTGAGCTTTGACTGTCGGGTGGTTTAAAATTTTCTGGACAAAATGGTAAATCGTTGAAATAATCATGTAGCTCAGTCGGTATGGTTAAATCGACTTCTAATGCATACCCAATATCCGATGTATCCGAAATCTGTGTAATTGTCTCTTGAATCCTATCCATCTCATCTCGTGTTAACCATGCAAAATTACCAGTTGGTAGGTACTGTTGCATCGTATAACCGTACAAATTTGTTGCATCAAGGTAAACTAAATACGATGATGCCTTTGACGGATCGTAATGTGGTAGAAATTTATTGTTCGCCTCAACTTTACGTGAGGTACATGTACTGACTCCCCCCCGAATTCCCTTTTTAAAAAAATGAATCATATCAACATCTGTAAGCAGCTGTAACTCTACTTTGCTGTATCGTAGCATCGCATCCCAACTCAAACCGGGGGCTGTAAAATAGTGAGCTGGATCAAGCTTGTACGTTTTTAAGCACAAATCTCTGAAATTTTCAAAGATATCTGTTAAAAGAAGAACATCCGAAGTCAAGTAAAAATCAGAGTATTCCCCCAAATTTTGACACCCCATTACTTCCCAGACATGACGTGCTCGCTCATAATCCTCGTCAGAAATGTGTTCATCACGTATTTCATCATAAAAGTCTTGTTGGGATGGTAAACATGTTTCATCGTATTTATCAAACCTATTAAGATATGTATATGGAAATATACCTTTGCATCTCATGTAGGAGAACTTTTCGTCCTCAGGAAAGACTTTTCGTACCGTCCGACATTGTTCTGCGCTTAAAAAGGATGCCAAGGTTTCTAATTTTGACGATAGAAACTGATATGAATCGACAAATCGCATCTGCAAAAATACAGTTTGTGATTTTCCCTCGTGGGAAATGTACGTGTCTACAGGTATCAATTTCGTAAATGAAACATATTTTTCAAAAGATTGTGGAATCACTTTAATTTGTTCTTGCTTCATAGCGAGGTGTTTTATGAATAGATGTGCATCATAGTTTTTGAGGTTGTGGAAAAATATTGGAATGTATTTTGGGATCTTATAGTTTAGATTGCATTTGCTATGTGCTGCGCCACGATATTGCCCGGTGAAATGACAGTGATCCCTAACTTTTCTATTTGTATCGGTAAATGGATGTTCACAAATGAAACATACCTCTGCTTTAT